GTGTGTGTATATATATATATATATATAWAAATKTGTGYTTGTATATTTRTATGTATACRCACACCTATTATGTATATGTGTGCATGCAGAGGCTCTGTGTGTATATACACACTATGTATTTATATGTGCATGTATGTATATGTATATAAATAAATACGCCCAGTACTTTGGGCACATATACGCTATAGTGCAACGCCATGAACAGTGGTATCAGCCGAAAGGCTGGCTCCAGGGCCCAAGATAATCACCAGCTGCCACCAAAGACAGCGGCGTCACCTCTGTCGGCTGACAAGGGTCTGCCCTGGGCTGCGCTGCCGCTCTGCACCGGYGAGGTCTTCTTCTTCTTCCTCTTCGCGGGCACGAAGGCCATGGCAGGGCCTGGGCTGCAAAAGGAAAGGTCGCTGTGGGCCACCTTGCCAGTCACCCAGGACCCGGCGAGTCTGTGAGGTGCATTTTTCTGTTTGGTCACTTGCTCCGGGAAGGATAGTTGCCATTTCCCCACTTCGTGTAGTTCTTGCCCTCCATCAGAACCTTTATTTTTGACATTAGTGGATAACACAAAGTCTTTCTAGCTCTAGTTTCTTGAGGGTCCTCCCTAGTGATAAGCTTGCTGGTAGCTGTGCAGCGGATCTGAATGATTTTGTATCTGTTTTCCTTCCTTTTCTACATCCTTCCCTTCGGTAGCACCCAATGCATGGCTTGTCTTGTCTTGTACATCTGGAATAACTGATGGGTGCTCTCTCCACGTCTGCTTCTTGTGGTGGAGCAGCATTAAAGAGCTGCCCCCTCATTTTTCAGAACTCCCTGCTGTTCTCCATCCACAGCAAAGCTGCCAGAGAAGCAGCTTTGAGGATTGGCCAAGGTATATTTGCAATAAGGGCCGGGATCATTCATTTTGGATATTAAAACCTAGATGCAAAGAGATGTTCAGTTCACAGGTGGGCACTGCTGGCAGCAGGTGACACAAAACACTTTCAGCATAAAGCCCTGGGTACCATATGTACATTATCTCCATGGAGATTAGAAGCATTCTGAGCAACCAGCACCTCCTGCCGTCTCGCCCCTTCATTCAAGGTCTAAGACCATATCTTAAGCTAACGGAAAGCAATGGAAATTCTAACCTTTGCTCAGCAGTTTCTAGATACTTTAGCAAAGCTTTAACTGCCTCGTGTCCTTCCTTTGGCTTGGAGATCGTTCAGTTGGTTTCTAGCCAGCCCGTAAACAACTTGCGAAGGACCAAGCCACGCTGGGACAGCGCAGCCTTGTGCTCCCGGGGGATTTTTTGGAGCCTGGAGAGCGGTGGATTGCGAGCAGCAGGTCGCAAAGCAGACCTGCTTCCCTTCTGCATACGCTGAGGTTCAGTGGTGCTTCTCGGAGAGGTCTGAAAAGCCTCCAGAGCTATAAACACAGGCTGATCTCCTAGCAGCAGCTGCCTAGCTACAGCTGGCAACTGCATGAGGGGTTCCGGGGCTAAAAATGCACAGGGTTTTCTCCAAAAAGGCATGTTTTCTCCAAAAAGGCGTGTTTTCTCCAAAAAGGTGTGTTTTCTCCAAAAAGGCGTGTTTTCTCCAAACACGGGTGCTTTCAGATGAAGCTCCCCAGCAGCGCAGCGTTACAAGAGGGCTGCTGAACAAACCAGGGCATGGGTATCTAGAGGAACTTGCATAGCAGAGACGTGGGAAAAGCAGCATTCGCTGCTAGACCATTGGTGCTTGCTCCTCCATGGCTTTTCCCAGGCCTCCTAAGGTCAGGTTGAGGTAGTTGGCCTCCAAAAAAGAGGCTCGTTTCATGCTCCCCGCGGCACAAATCAATAGTACGGGCTAAATTCCTGCAATTCTCTACTTGGTCTTCACTATAATTTCCCTCCCTATGGCAGAGTTTGCCTAGGAGAGTTCGTTAATTTTTATTCCTTGATTTTGTAGCTGAGCTGTAGCTGAGATGCTGAGACCTGCTCCATGTGCAGGGACTTTCCTCCCTTGGAACACCTAAGCTCCTCATAATTAAATCTAGAAGGGGGAAAGAACTAAAACCCAGCAGCAAACCTGATTTTTTCCCTTGCCCAGTAGCCTTTCTTTTCCCCCAAATAAAATACAATAAAAACGCAGGGCRAAAGCTGACAGGAGGTGGAATCTGGCTTGGATCCCGTCTCCGGGTTGGCCCCAGGTGGACACGCCAAGGCGCTCTGAATGCCCTGGCACTCCTTGGCGGTCACAGTGACCTTCAGGAACATTCTCCGTATTTTCCCATTGCACACAATGCCCCGAGCGTGCGGAGCCAGCCGGGCTCCTGCCCTTGCTTTACCTTCCCCTTCCTCGATTACGTCCCATGGCCAWCCCACCAGCCACAACCTCCTTGGCCACGGAGGGAAGAGCTCGGGTGGGAGGAGCGCAGGGTGCCACGCTGCAATATTGCAGATGCCTCCAGCAAGCGTCACACCCTCGAGGAAACATTGCCTAACTCGGGGAGAAAACCAGAGGCTGAGGTTACAGCTTCTTAAGTGCTTCTTATTTCACTTATTAGCAATTATTTCATTCACTTGAAACCCAATTAACTTCGTGCTTCGGATCCCCTTCTGTGTCCAAGGAAAAGAGGCATTCCTTAGAGAATTATTAGGAATAATGAAGGATCATTTGCACTAAGCTTTGAGGTCCTATAGGGATGTTTAAAAGTGCTTTGGCCAGCAGGTTTCCTGCTCTTCTCCCGGCTGGGCTCTCTGGTGCTGCAACCCTCCGTGCCAAGGAAGGGGAGGGGACATTCACTTACCTCTCCCTTTTTTACCCAACCGCCTGTTTACACAAAAAAAACCCCACCACGAACACAGTCACCTTGAGGCCTTTCCAACCTGCCGAGTCTTGCTGAACTTGACCGGTGGCTTTTCACGACAGCAGAAGGAGAAATGGCAAAGACAGCGCGACGGGCGCGATCTCCGCTATCGAGAGAAGCCTTCGCAGCTCCCGCTCCATCCTCATCATCCCAGGGTTCGGGCCGGCTCCATTCAAAAGCCGCCGGGCTGAAACATTCGGGGCCGGGCTCCGGGCAGCCGGGGCTGGCGCCAGCCTCAGCCRGGGCAGCAGCCGGCGCTGCGGTGCCGGCCCCGGGCGCTATCTAGACCATCTCTCGCGTTCGGGGATTTTTCAGGGGTGACTCATGCTGYGTAGGGTCTGACCGTCCTCTGTGCTCGCTAGCTGGAGGGTTGGAACAGGACGTCTCGGAAAACTAGCTTTTAATAATGTTTGRAAGCCGCTTCGCCTGCTCCCCCCCTGCACACACAAAAAATCCCAAATTCTCAAGGTAGCTGAGCCCATGCCCTGGGCTTCCTTGTGCTCCTTCCCAGCAGCAGCAGTGTTCTCATGGACCATCCTTTTGCAAGCATTTTACGAGAGCATTTACAATGCTTTTGCAGCACTCGCCGGGAGGTAGAAACCCAGTTTTGCACATGAACGTAGCCGTGTTTTCCGGGGTCTGCAGCTGGCGTGAAGGGCCAGGCAAGAGGGGCTCTCAGCCATAACGTACCTCGGCACCCACCTTGTAACTAAACTACAAAGCAAGAAAGGCAAACTGGGCATGAGGAGGAGCACGGAGCAACTGTGGAGCTAGGGACAACCCTGTGGAGAGTGTCGGAGCTCCTTGGGGCAACAGGAACCCCGAAAAGCGCCGCTCTTTTTGCTGCTCGGTCCCTGGGCGCTCCCCGTCGCTGCGCGGCCGGCACGCGGGCTCCGCGCTAATGCCGTTAATGATTAACCCCGAAATTCTGAAGCTGTGCAGCTGGGGAGAGACACATCCTCCCCGAGGAGACTGATCCAGCCACTTCTCATGGATGCTGCCAGTGACAGGGGGGGAAATGAAGATGACTGGTCTGACACCCCACGCAGCAGCATCAGTAGGTGAATTCTCCGCACGGTTTCACCAACATTTTCTGTAATACCACTGGTTCTCAGGGTTGGTGACCACCTGCAATCACACATTCCTAGGAAATGCACTCTCACCTTTCGTATCTTCCTCCTCGCCCCCTCTATCACTTTCTTTCCGTCTTTCCCATCTTCCACGTCCAATCACACCTTCTCCTACTTGTCTCCCAGACAACAGCAGCCTTTGAAACAAGGGTCTTATTGACATTGCCATGAAAGAGGGATGTGAGTTTTCGTAGGCAAGGTTCATACCACAACAGACGGCAGGAAGCAGAGAGGCATGCGGCCTCTTTCGCCTTGAAACTGCTGCCTTTGCTGCCTCGCAGAACACACTGCTGCTCAAGTCTGAACCTGCTCCTCGGATGCCTGCAGTGGTGTTACCGAAACGTAAAGGGAGGAGGCACCACCCAGCAGTGCAGATGCACTACGTAAATCCTTATTTGAAAGGAAATCTGCTATTCTAATGGCATTTTTATAGCTGGAAGTGTCTTCTGTTTGCTCTGCTTCCATCAGCTGCCCACACCAACCACTAACTCCCTCGTGGTAGGTGCAGTGTGCTGTGAGCTGCTGCACAGCTCCCTGGCCGTTGTCTCTCATTTACCACGTTCACAAAAACACCCTGAAGGGCTCGTTTGGAATCACTGAACATCTGAGAGCTCTGACCTTGAATGGCCTTGCAGAGATAACTCCGACAGCAGCAAGAGCGCGATTAACCCTGYGTTTTATTTCCATAGAAATGGGATCTCACTGCTGCCTCTGAAGAATTTCTAGCAGTATACACAGRAACGGGTAAAACTAGGTAGATATTATTTATCCATGACGTTGTAGTGGGGCTCACCTGGCCAGAAAGGCAGGTCCAGTGCAGGAGCCTGGCCCGGTGCTATGAAGCCCCAAGGTAAGAGCTGTTCCTGTTTTTCACCCCTCCTCTCTATTGCTGCGGTGTCTACGGATGGAGCCGCTTGCTTTAGTGCACTGCAAACTCCTCCTCGTCTTCTCCTGGTTATTTTTCAAGTGTCCAGATTATAAGCAGTTCCTTTGTTCCCCAACACTACTAAAATGGCTCTGGTTTTCAGACGTGTTCTAAGTGAAATAAAGAACTGCAAGCTTTGCATGTTGTTCATTCATCCCGGGTTGTGTGAAAGCTGGCTTTTTATTTATTTGGTGTTATTGAAGGTGCTCTTGCTGTCTTTCCCCATGCATCTTTTGAAAGGATGGGCTAGCAGTGAGCGAATAAGTTGGGCTCAAACACACACAAAGCAATGGGTTTGTTTAAGGTGGTGTTTGGGATGCAAATAGAAGCAATGAGCCCAAGGAGGCTGGACCTCCTCGGTGTTTGCTGAGCCTCTCCCAGCRCTGCCTCCTCACTGAAGGCACTAACGTGATGGTTTAATAGAGGCCACGGAGCGACCTCCCTTTTGAGATCAGCACTAAAACGGCAGCTTTATCAGATCCTTTAGTTCTCTCCAAAGTCCTTCAGGGCTATAAAGTTACTTAAAAGTGCAGCTACTCTTACCTCAGACAACGTATCCCCATGGGTCTGCTTCCTTGGTGCTCGTCCTTCCAAGTGAAATAGGGGCTTGCTGGAAGAGGTGCTGCTCATTTGCCTCACCATTTTCTCCGGAGATCTCCTTCAGGAGTTTTCTCACCCGTTTTGGAAGTGATATCCACCCTGGACGGCGGATTACAACCCAGGATTATAAGGGACTGTTCAAACCAAAGAGCTGTTCCAGCCTGCAGCTGGGGAAGAGCAGTAATGTTACTGCACCCTTCAAAATTAAAGATAGTTGTTAAGGACTTAGCACAGAGAATTCAACACTTACATGGTGTAAAAGAGCATGTTCTTACTATAGAGTGTGTAAGGACCTTCTTTTTTTGATGGGAATGTACTGGGGCATAAATCCCCCCGCTCCTCACACACTCTGGAAACTCCTTCACCTAGAAATCAAGGATATCTCAAAGAATGAAATGTTCATGTGTCAGTCTCCTATATTTGGCCACAACATTATGAATGGGTGAGGATAAGGCAGTGTGTCCTCAAGACTGGTTAAAAGAACCATTCAAGGTCAGCAAATGCAAGATGTACCCAATCGGTATTGCTTCGAAATAAATTCAACACGGAGCTCAAACTCAATTCTTTTAATAAACATGTAATTTAAAAGTTTAAAATGATTGATACAAACTCAAAGGAAGTACAACAGTAAATTAAATACTACATGATACACGATTATTATTTGAAAATTATTAGCAAAGGGTAATGTTGTTGAAAGGTCCTACATTTCACTTCAAGCAATGGCATCACTCCCTTGAACACGTTGATGACCTCATGCAGAGGGAAAGAGAAAGAGCAAAGTTTCCATTAAGGATCTCCAGCTTCCATAAAATCCAAAGGGTAAATTTTGGATGAGGAGAGGCATAGAGAGGAAAGGAAGTCAGCTGAAGTTCAGGGATAGCACAGTTTGATGCATGAAGTGCAGTGAGTGGATATCTTGATGAGACCCTTGGATATATCTAAGGAAGTTCCTTTAAAGAACTGTCYTATGGAAAGGAATGCCACCTGCACCCTGCAAAACGAGACTGTGCTACAGTCATTTTAATTGAAAACCCATCTTGACCACCCTAGCATTTGTGAGCATGGAGATTTCCTAACTGGGCAACCTTCCTGACAATGCAGTGCGACTGTATTGACATAATGGAGACCCTGTGTGCTTTGTTTTTAGGAAAACAAGTCAAAAAAAAAAAAAAAAAAAAAAAAAAAGTAACCACAGCTTGACCCCTCAGTGTGCTGAGGACATGCAAGTGCTCTTGGCTTTTCCCATCTCTCTCTTTTTGCTTCTGCAGCCTTCCCAGTACAGGGCAGCGTGTTGGCCCAGACAGACTCCACTGGCTCTTCCGATAAGGACAACCTTTTTCTTTCTCTCCGTATTTCTGTCAAGACGAAGACTTTGCCAATGCGATTGACGGCATTACCAGACAGTATTAGACAAAAATAGCTAGATCTAACTTTGCCTGGTAAGACAGCAATCAGCAGGCACTCAGGCTAAAGAAAAAGCACTAATATTTATAGATATATAGATTTTTTTTTTCTTTTTTTTTTTTTCCTCCAGGAACCAGGACTAAAAAGGTAGGGCAGGGAGAGGCTGACCACCTCTTCTATAGACAAAACAGTAGCCAGTAAATATTTAACTTGAAATACTTCCTGTTAAAGAGGCAGTATGCTTAGGAAACCACAAGTGYTTCCAGCTCGCTGGTGTGAGAGCCCAAAAATAAGAATTATCAAGACCTTGCAGCTCTGTCCACTGCGTCTGTGGCGCTGTGAACCGCC